TATATATATATATATATATATATATATATATATATATATGGAGGTTAAATTTAAGTATTTTTAGACATGTTTTCTTTAAAAAATAATTTAGAGAGTAGCTTCAACTTTTTTTCAAGGATAATATAGAATATTTTATATACTTTTTATACATGTAATATAATATTTTAGATGTCTTTAATATAATGATAGATATATAACGAGAATAAGATATATCACACATTTTTCATCCAAAAATATTAAATACACATAATAAAAAGTTAATAGAAAAAATGCAGATTTAAATATCGTCTTCAATTTTTGTTACATTTTACATTAACCTCGATCTGTATTTGTAAAATTAATAAATCTGCATAAAATAGTTATGCGTACAAAATTCCTTTTTAATGGTAACAACTTATAAAAAAATAATAAGGAATATAATCATAATTCTCGATATCATGTCATTATTTATTTTTTATATAATTTATTTAGACTTATGATATTTTAGATACTTTTATATAATATTTTATCATGTCATATTATATCTATATACATATACATATATATATACATATTAAGTTTAAATATTTTTAAACATGTTTTCTTTACAACCAAGTTTAGAAAACATCTTTCATACAAATGTAAAATTCAAATGTTTTTAAACATGTTTTCATTCCAAAATAGTTTCAAAGAATTGTAGGTGACTTCACATCTTTTAATAATAATACATAAACCAATACATACTTTTACATGTTTTTAATATTTTAAACATGCAAACTTTATGTTCTCTACACAAGTTAATTTTATATTGCTGATACTAAATTGATATACGACGGTAAATTATATCACATGTTAACCCCACATCTTTAATTTATAATATTTTTTTTGCTCTTTTAAAATAGGATAATGGTTTTCCACCACTCAAACCCGAGACTTATTTATAATTATTATTTAATAATATTTACCCGTGCATCGCACGGGGCTACGCACTAGTAATGAAATGTTACTGTTTTAAGAGGAAAAAATCGGTACACAAACCTAAAATTTGGTCGTAATTTAGTCCGAGGGAAGATTGGGTTAAACTTCTTAGTGATTGCAAGCCATTCCTCGTCGTAATGGAGATCGTGAGGCCCGTTTTCTGATTCAATTTCGATGACCTATAAAATATTCAAGGGTTTACATAAGGAATAATCAGTTTATTAAACTTGTTTACCACAGCAAGTAGCTAGGACTAAGTAGCAACCTGCAAAAATTTATTTCCAGGGAGGCACTTATCGAGGGCAAGAAATTTTGTAACGGGCCCGTTTTCTCCATGTTGAACGAGAGCCGAAAATTTGCAGTGTAAATGTGCCGAAAAATAGTATGATGGCCTCAACTTAGCCATAAGATCTCTTGCAGCTGGATTTTCCAATGTTCCTTTCTTAATCTGTATTAATTAATTGGCATCACTTATATTTTATATACATTTTTGCTAAAATACAAAATACAAGCATCTAAACCCGTCAAAAATCAAAAGCATAACAGAAGTTATAAAATGTGGTACCTCTTCTTCAAAATGAGATTTTCGGCGTAAAAGATCTCGTGAGTTCCCATAATCAGTAATACCAAGAGGCCAATCGTGAGAAAGAAAAATATCGATTGGCTCCTGAACTTGCATCAGCTTATGAACATCATACTCACGAACATGATATATGGACACCATGTCTTTATTACTGTAAGGTAGCTTCTCATGGTGTCATGTTCAGAATACAAAGGTATATACAAAATGTTAAGATGCAGCACAAACAAAAACTACGGAAGATGATGAACACAGACTAAAGTACAATCATACTGTTTGATAAGTATTCAGTTAGTACTGTTTGATAAGTTAGGTATCAATCAATACTACAATTACCAGAATAATAGTCATGTGCATTATAAATTCCTGAAAGTCCACCAATACGAACATTTCCAAACTTAACAACTCCTGCAAATCCGAGAAAGAAAATTTGTGGAGCAGCCCACCCACCATAGTATCTACGAAAATAACAATATAATTAAAATTCGATAGTGAATCTATCTTCTCTTGCCATTTTAGCCCCAACATAATTAATAGTCTTCATTCAAATGAAACATATACATGTGTGTATATATTATATTTGCATGGTTTTCGCATTTCGAATAATAAGGTTATGTCTTGGAAGAAATGGCCAACTTGCGAGACCTTCCTTTTTTTCTGTATAGACACTCATCCTTTAAGCCACGGGGGATAGATATAATTGTTCTTTTTCATTACACTTTGAAGCAATAATATATGACAAAAAATGATGAAATTCTCCCCTGAGTAATACTTCCAAAAGGAATTCATACTCCGATACTTGGGTGGTACATTTAGGCTCTCCAAATCTTTCACATTCCGAACAGCCTGATAGCTCCCAAATTAAGCAAGTAAATTAAGATTACTGAAAGAAATTCATCAAGAAAAAAATTCTCTACTGAAACGTTCATGTTCATATTCGAGTGACAGGGTACTGTTTACCTATAGACATCAAAGGAAACTAGATTTCAGAAGTAAATTCATTGCTAATGGAAAATTAAGAAGGCGGTTCGTAAATATAATGTGGGCTTATACTCATATTAATCTGATTCATCAAACAGAAACAGAAAAGTATTTCTGATATTCGATGTGTCAATTGTTACATATTCTGGAATCGGCAGAGAAGTTGTCATCAAGATTTAGCATAAAAACTATGTTTTGATAGAGATCTCTTCATAGTCATTAGCTAGGAAAATGGCTTCATTATGCTTTTCCTAACAAGCCACCTTACTCATTGGGTTGGGTAAAAAATCATCAAAATCGGTAGAGGCCAATTAAGTTTGAAACTTCATACTTCTTACATAATGGCATTAACAAATACTCCCGAACAATGAAATGTTTTTCGCAACAAAATCAACGTGCATCTACTAGTCATCAATTTTACTAATTTCGTCAGACGTCAATTCACCAAATTTGTTCAATATTTGTCATTTACATGTCACCTATCCACATACTTCTTTCTTCACATCTTCATGGAATAAGCCAAAAGGCGTATAGAAGAAAAAACAAAAATAAGAATTTACCTGAAAGTCCCCACAGCAAATGAGAAGATCAATCTCGATTTTTTCAACTTCTTGCAGGTGTAATAAAGTGGCATACACATTGTCCAAATCTCCATGAGTGCACCCTTCTACAACTATTTTCATCTAAAATTACAAATTTCCAACTAAAAGCAAAATTAGTCGAGCCTTCAAACCGAAGGTAGTAACGATCACCTAGTGACATCTACATAAGCTTACAAGCATGATATATTGAAAATGCAAGTAACAATAACTAGATATGCAAAAAACTCCAATTTCGTAACTCCATCAGCAAAACTTTTCATAAGCATTAAAATGGAATAAGGACCTAAGTCACAGGGACGCAGTCAAGCTCGTGTCCGGTACGACCCAGGTGCAGTTCGAACTTACTTTCCGAATCAAGCTTACTAAAGGGCAAGCTATATTTTAGATGACATATGCGCAACTTTTGCGAAAGTGAATGAATAACAGTCACAGAAGGCCATCTTCTATGCAAGAAAAATACTGTCTGAGAATGAATAAATAAAGCAACTTGTTTTTCTCCAAACAGTTAACAGTTTTAGCACATAAACCAGCGAAAAACAGTAGTAACAAATATGAACAAAAACCACAGCAAAGATACGAGCTTTATGAAACACACACAGAGGTCACAAAAATTGAAATTCAAATACCTTTTATTAACTCAATTGGCGGGTGGCTGATTTGTGCTCGACAGAGAGGGAATTTCTTGAGCAATTTATTAAATATGGGGATTTTTGGGTGAAGTTCATTAGGATTAGGAATCTGATGTAGGGGAAGCGTGAACAAATGGGAATACGAGATAGTCTCTCGAACTTGGGATCTCTCCCGTAAAAATAGGAACAATTTTAATTTATTCTCAAATTCCATTGAATAAAACCATAGATGGGGAGTTCCTTTATATAAGGCTCATAAATTCTAATCCTAACTTGTCCAACAAGACAAGAATCCTAACAATACTAACTTGTCTAACAAGACAAGAATCCTAACAAAAGTGATAAATAATAAGTTTCCTAACAAATCTATAATACCACTAATAATAATAATAATAATAATAATAATTAAAGATTCTAAACATCCTTATCTCTATCATTCTCCCCCTGTCGAAAAGGATTCGCCCTCGAATCCGAAGTAATCTCGTCTTCAACTGCTCCACAATTCTGACCGGGCCAATTTGACGGGCCATGAACTTGGTATACTCACAAGTAGAAAATCTATGGCAACAACTCTCCACTTTGTCCTTTTTGGGCACACTATGCGAGTTAT